ATCTCACTTTGCGATTAATAGCACGTATATATGTAGAGCAGAAACGATGAAGGCAAATTCCAACCTGGTTTAGGAAGACACTTCAAATTGGGCTACGTGTAAGGGAGAGGATGACAGCTGGTTCCACTTGCAACTTTTAATTAAAATGCAGTAGTCCAGATAACAGAACAGTGAGATGGGGCAGAGAGAGAAAAGGAAATAAATCCTTGAAACATCATAATTGTACTTTAAAACCCCTACTTAAAGTGGGAAGAACCCAAAAATAAGTTATTTCTGCTTTATTTTCTTGTATCTTTGGAAAAACCTGAACTAGTGTCCTCACTACCATTTTTTAAGGTTATCTGACACCGACAGGCAGTCTTGTATCTGGCTTTATCTTTGGTTCTTCAACAAATGCAAAGTACAGGTCTAGCTTGCTTAACAGAAAAGCCTTCTGCACTCTCTTCGCAGCGCAGTTTTGACCACTTTTGACAAAGAGTATTTCTGATCCCAATGCTGGCTGGGAAGGTGCAATGAAGAGCGTAAGAATCACAGAACGGTTTGGGTTGGAAGGGACCTTAAAGACCATCTAGTTCCAACCCTCCTGCCATGGGCAGGGACACCTTCCACTAGATCAGGTTGCTCAAAGCCTCATCCAGCCTGGCCTTGAACACTTCCAGGGATGGGGCATCCACAGCTTCTCTGGGCAACCTGTTCCAGTGCCTCACCACCCTCTCTGTGAAGAACTTCTTCCTGACATCCAATCTAAACCTCCCCACTTTCAATTTAAACCCGTTACCCCTTGTCCTGTCACTACAGGCCCTTGTGAAGTCCCCTCCCAGCTTCCTTGTAGCCCCTTCAGGTACTGGAAGGTGCTACAAGGTCTCCCTGGAGCCTTCTCCACGGGAAGAAGCCCAACTCTCTCAGCCTGTCCCCATAGGAGAGGTGCTCCAGCCCTCTGAGCATCTTCGCGGCCTCCTCTGGACTCATTCCAACCAGTCTATATCCTTCTTATGTCGAGGGCTCCACAGCTGGACACAGTACTCCAGGAGGGGTCTCACAAGAGCAGAGTAGAGAGGGAGAATCACCTCCGCCTCTACTATAAGAGCCACCCCTTCCAGCAAGGGTGGACATCTAGGTGAACATCCCGGTGCAGCATCCCTCTGAGCAGGCTGTGTTGACTCCCCTGACCGAGCATCCACTAGAAACCCACAGCTTCTTCATGACCTGGGAGACCCACGTAGCCACCATGAGGTTGTTCTTTGACAGAGTGTAGGGGACAGTGTCAGCATACAGCAAATGCTCCTGGCTCCAAAAGCCAAGAGCTGTCCCTGGACAGGCGAAGAGCATTTATGTGGCCATCCCACCTCTGAAAGAGAACATCCCTCTTAAAGAAGACCGTTGCTACCATCTGTAGGCTCCCAGATGTGAGTGGCAGTGAGGTACAGATAGTAACACTTCTGGACTATGGTTCTGGAGGAGGATGAATGAACAGGTTGGGTCACCTACTTAACCTGGTTTTGGCTTGTAATGTCTTACTGCATGAAAGACTTTCTGGGTCAGCACAGAAACAACACGCAGGCAGTAACACTGTGGGACCTCAAGAGAAAGCTTTTACCTGGCATTTGCTTAATATCCTTTCACGGAAAGGATACCACGTTAGGTGAACCACTCTTAACCTCGGCTTTCAAGTTACCTCTGCTACATTTTTCCCTGCAGACATCTCATACAAAATGAAAAACTCCTGGCGTCACAAATGCAAAGTACTGGACGTGAGAGAGACTGAAAGACAAAGAAGGCGGCAGCGAAGATGCTCAGCATTAAATATGGAATAAGAAAGGGGGGGCTTCTGAAACAAAGGACGCCAAGGGGATAATGGATTAACCAAACCTGCCTCAGAAGCATCTCAGTCTGTGAGTACATGCAATTTCGGCTGTCAGGTCATTAACTGGATGAACACATAATTGATAAGCTGTAGGTTGTGCTCTACTTGAGAGCAATAAGCTCCTTCAAATGATATTAATAAGTTACATACATAAAGGCATTTGTCATTTGCAAAGCACTATAGAGTAAATGATGGATTCTATAATGATCCCCAACTCCCAGACTAGGAAATGCAATTCTGGAGGCATAAACATCTGGCCCACATCCAAATCAAGATTCACCGACAGAGCTATTATTCTAGCTCAAAATTAGGTTTCTGAGTTTCCGGTCCTTCTAAGATTACACTGCTTTGTCGCCTTCAGTGGGCAGAAGCATGACACAGACAGAGCTGGAAGACAGGAGCTGACAACTTGGGATGACATTTCTGACTCACATCCACCAATTGTCACATCCCTACCCTGGGCCACCATCCACACCAAAAGATGCAGGTAAACACAAGGAATGGAAATATTAAATATTTGATTGTCATGTGTTGTCCACCCCTCTCCCCTTTCTTTTAAGGAATTAGTCTTGGGAAATTTACTGAGCTCCATAATTTGTCAGATCTTTCTTTATACTTTTTATAGATTTTGTTCCTCACAGTTTAAAGGGATATAGTAAGTTCACGTGTAGTTGATCTCTAAAATATGACAGCATTTTTCTTAGATGTGACAGATTATTTCTCATGCTGCAGCACTGAGTTTCTGTGAAACAGTCAGCAAAATTTGTAATTATGCAAAATTAGTGCAGGAGAACTTCACCTTCAGCCTCCTGTATTGTTTCCTGCGACGGACCCTCAGTCTCCCTGCCCTCCCTCTGTACATACTTTTTCTCCCTAGCACAGTGAAAGTCACATAATTTCTCTTGGCTGGACACAGAACCCTTTTGCTGTAGCTGAACTTTAGGCACATGGAAAGTGTTGGATCTACCAACTGTTCACATGAGCTGTGCCAGAGAGGTACCTGCAGTTGCATCCTCAGTAGACACATTACACTGACAATGCCACCTAGGAAGGATGCAAAGCCTGGATCATCCATTTAAGGTATGTAAATGCCTGTATCATTCCAGTTGCACTTGTTCCCTGAAACATTTGTGCCTTCTAAACTGTTCCCTTAAATATTTGTGCATCCTAACTAACTTCTGTTTCAATGCAGCCAACGTTGTACTCAACACAGCCTTGTCATTTGAGATGTCATCCTTTTAGGAGCTCTAGTCTCATCAATATTCCATTCTGCTTAAGAAGTCCAACCGTCTCAGAAGCAGATAAAGTGATTATTGATGATAGGCAATACAACTCCAAAGATTTTTCAGCACTGTTAGTAGAAAACGATGCATAGAAAATTTATATTGGACATTAGTCCAGAGCAGAGAATCTGACAAGCTATAAAACATGATGGCTTCTATAAGCTAGCATTTTGACACTTCAACAGAGTCCAACCTGAGCGAAAAAGTGAAACTCCCTGAAAGAAAAGTATTAACAGCATTTTTCTGCGTAAGCTGAAGTCTAACATAACAGATCTCCCCTTCTGCTCCATCTTATATTCCCATAAAGCTCAGCCTGCTAGACAATATTTCCACAAAAATCCTAATTGAGAAAATTTGCTTGATTATATTCCAGAAAGTGACTCACATCGTATAACCAAGTGGCAAAAGCTTGGTTTGGAAAGAGTTTGACTCTTTCCATCGAAGCCAGTATTAGTCATTCTTCCAGTTTAATGGTTTGCACGCTATTCTTGACAGACAAAATTTACGACCACAGGTCAAGAAGTGACAATTTAATAGTAACTAAGTATGTGGCCCAATAACTATTGCTAGTCTGAAGGAAACACCACAGGACCTGGCCAGTGAAACTAAAAGAAACTCGACAGCATGACTTCTGAGCTGCTCTAAAAGTAATAAAATCCACAGCTCCCGTGCTAGCATTGAAAAATTTGGCCCAAACTGTAAAGACACAGTCAAATAAAAATCATTAAGTTCGTCCTCATCCTTTACTCTCCAATGCACTTAAAACAAGAGTGGCAGACAAGGATGTAAGGACTGAGTGTAATGTGACTGTAAAGACATCAGGATTTGGCTCCCAGTCAGACACTCCCTTCTTCTGCCCTCTCTCCTCCTCTGTGCTCCTGTGGGTTCCCTTTTAAGCCTGCAGCCTATACCCTCTCTGCCTTTATACTCTTCTGTCCTCTCTAGGCGACTTTTCTTCTCTGCCACACGCAGAGGTTGCCTGAAGGAGAGCTGGCTTTGCCAAGCCCTCCAACACACATCCTTCCCCTCCTGGCCACTGCTTGTGGCCTCCTGACCTAAAACAGGTTCAGGACAGGCTGGTCTGCTGGCTGAAGACCAAGTCAGTAACATGTCTGGAAAAGCTGAATTGACAAATGTGTCCACTGAGATGCTGAATTTGCTCATGCCCACTGTGAGATGCTGAATTCCTTCATGCTCTACTTCTCCCTGGCTTTCTGGAGTTGAAGGCAAGACATCCTCCTAGCATGGGTCTGCCCACAGGAACAGACTGGTTCCTAAGCAAAGACTATCCCACCCCAGAGCAGGCTCCTGGCAAAATGCCAGCAGGGAAGGCAAGATTCCTTACAGAAAACCACCACCAACTTTCTGACACAGTCATGATTCACAGACATCATGGAGAAACACATAGAACTCGCCACTCTCACTGCTCATTGGCTCCTGACGTTTCCGCTGCCTCCCCTGGGTGTCTCATGCCCCCACTAATCTCACGATGGTCAGAATTACTGTCTGGACAGTGACCCAATGTGAGCCTCAGCTCTGCAGAGTACCCCGTGGGATCAAATCCTTCTTTGTTTATAGGCTTTGCTGCCCATAACTCATTTTCTGCATTCTGTTGTGGCATGCACCGACTTAAAATTAATCCAAAGTCTCTGGATGTTCCAGGGACTGCTCACAATCCTCAATCCAGCTCAAATTTGGACAACATCTTCAACCTCCAGAGAAAACAACAGAAGCATCTCTGTGCTTGACATTGGTGAAATAGCTGGCTATTCATTCTTTTGCTTAATTTAAGAATCTTATTTCAACTACTTTCTCCAGACAGCATTGAAAAAGGAAGACAAAAAGCAATATACCTCTACATCACATGCGTATTCCGATCCATCCAGGAGTGTCACTTTGCACTGCATATTTTTCGGTTTCTTGACGATCTTTAGAGGAGACTTGGAAAGTTTGCTAGATGATGATTTTTGAGAGAGCTTGTCGTCCTCTAGCTGCTGGTATTCCAGCTGTTTTGCACTTGCAGCAGCAAACTCCTGTTCTTTGTCTGTGGCCTATAAAGAGAAGGAAAGATACTTTTTGAAGTGAGATAAAACAATTGGACCATGCAGTACACTACTCACCCAGCACCCAAGCGTTTAAGTGAGCCTAGTATGGGGCTTGGACGAGAAAGTGCCTGATTCTGATGCAGGACAGTTTTTCACCTACTGAAAAGATTGCCCATATCGCCCAAATTACACCCAGCCCTCCCCTCTCATTCAAAAACGTACATAATAGGTGTGGAGGAGTGGCATGCATGAAAATACTTTAGGCTTCCACTTTTTCCCTAGGTACAAAATCCCTCTTGGATTTCTTGGACCTGGTTTTTTTTGACTGTTGTAAATGCTGAGTAAGTGGTAAACGTCATGATTAACAGATATTCCTACAGTTTGTTAGTATTGCTTTTGAGTCCTGTACCTATTACATCATGATGCTTCCATGGTGTCATAGGAAACAGGAGAAGACCTTCAGGTTTGCACTCATTTCGCTGCCAGTGAGAAAAGAGTCCCCTGAACAAGGGCAGGGCTCCCCTTGAGAGAGAGAGTTGGCAGGGGGATGCTGACGTGCCTGGGAGAGCAAAAGGCTCTCCGAGCAAAGGGTTAAATAAACAGGATGGACATGAAGGGCCAAACAACTTTTCTGTGCAGCTGGCTGGCTAATGGATGACAAGTACAGGATGAGAGGCTGAATTTGCTCTCTGCAGATGCCCGATAAGTCCCTCAAGCTGGTGAGAAGTAGGTGCTATTTGAAAGACAAATATACTGCAAGAAAAAGGGGCAAGAAGAAACAACCAGTTATTTTGCTTGGGTTTACCTGAGGGTCAGACCGTCTGAAGAGTTACCATGGTGCAGCACTGCCCATGGTCCTCTCCACGGCACTAGATGAAAGCCAGAACAGCTCTACAGCATTTTACCCTTCCTAGCAACAGCACTGTGTCGCAGTCATTACCTTTCTCATCAGTTATGTCCCTGACAGTCTCCAAAGAAAACCTCAACAGGAGTGCAGTAATACCTAAGCTGAAGTTGAAATAAAATAAAATAACATTTTTGTTACCTTGCTACAAGAAAAAAAAAAAAAGGCTCTGAATTGATTTGGCTCTGAATAATTTCAGTGTAATAAGCAACAAGCATTATTGGAAATATATTGTAAATTAATCCTCCAAGTCTGTTTCCATTCATTGTATATAATAAACCTTCATGAGAATGGAGCAAATCCATCCAAAGGCTTTAATCTGCTTTGAGACAGGAACAACCTTGCATCATATAACCAGCAACAACAGTGTACCACTAAATCACAGGGCACTTTTTCCCGAGAGACTGGATACAAACAAGCCGTAAGCTTCCCCTCTGCCTACGGGTGAATGGAGGAAAAGAGGAATTTGGAGTCGGCTGTGCTACCGACAGTGCCAGCTCCCACCAAAGCCCCAAACTGCAGAGAGGCAACTGCAAAGAGGGGAGGTAAGACCCACGCTCCTCTTCCCACTGAGACAGAGGACATAGCAAAGGTCTCCTGGGCTTCTCTGCGTGGGGAGATAGGAAGAAAGTGGGACTAGAAAGATAAAAAGGCAACACAAAAGCTGCTTTTAAACCCCGCCTCAGCCCAAACTGTAGATGTTCTTCCCCAGGAGCACGCCAGTGCCAGCCGGCTCTTCCCCAACTAGCTCCAGCACTGGAGCACTTTCTCCTTCCAGCACTCGGACACCCGCTCCGTGACCAGATGTCAAGGTCCTCGCATACCTTGAAGGCTGGCGGGAGATGAAGGCACAGCGTACCGTAAGCCGATTAGCTGTTTGCTGCGCATTTAACACTCACAGCGGCGGTGATGGAGAGTCCCCCTGGTTCGGAGCAAGGCTTGAGGCCAGCTGCCCCCCTGCCACCACCGTAGCCAGCTGGCAAGTAGTCCAACCTGCTGCACCGAAAGAAAAACAAGACTGGAGAGGTCCCTCCCAGGGCCCCTGTGAAGGGCTGTGCTGCCGCCGACGGGCAGGGGGGCACTCTGATGATTGCCATGCGTGGTGTTACAGAAAGCTGCCAGGGAAGGTGCATGTGCACACGCCTAGATGGCAAAAGGGGTAGAAATACACTGTCGCTGCGTTAGGTTTTGCATGTAAGAGTTAACACACAGCTCCAACAAAAAAACATGGATGCATGGAATTAATCCTTTTAAAGAAAACAGGAAAGCTGCTTGAGAGAAAAGCCCACAACAACAAGGGCAACCAGCAGCTTTTTACATTTTCAAGCATCTTCAGCCTACAAACGAGTTCCGTGAATCCTTACTGAGTGGTGATTATTTTTCTTCATGCAAAGACACTCAGTAACTCAAGACTACAGCCAAAATCTGCTTGTTTATAATTTTTATTTTAAATGGTATTGAGGTTATTTTGTTTGTTAAGGTTCCTGTCTACGTTAAGATCAGGGGAATGTGTCTAGGTTAAAATCACACAAAGGATTTTCTTTCATTTTTCTGGAGAACAAAACATGCCAAGAACCATTAGAGAAGATTCCCTCAAACTATGCTGACATGTTCAGGCACTGAGGTACTTTCAGACTGTATCAAGCCTCTTCTTCCTAAAGAAACATGACATCCTGGTAAGTAGGCAAAAAAAAAAAAAAAAAAAGGCCAGTGAAAAACCCACGTACTCAGTGAAATATTTAGAACTCTGCAAGCATAGTTGTATTTTCTCCTAATTTTTTCCCCAAGATACCTCTGTCCTGTATTTCTGCAGTGTTTTCAGTGTCATGGACTCAATTCTAGCGCAGCACAAGATTCTTCAGGGTTTGTGGGTTTTGAATATAAGCTGTCTCATCTCCACCTATATTACTGTACCTTACTATGACACAGTATGCTCAACCCCTTCTGAAGCTGGACCCCCCCTCTTGAAGCAAGCCTTCGGAGCCCCAGGATTCAGCAGTAATGATCTTTGACGCTTCACAGCTTCTCAGTGACGTATGAAGTGATATTACCAAGCTTGCACAATGCATGAATCCCATCTACTTATGACAGTTGTTCAGAAATGTCAGTGCCCAACCCATGCGATGCCTTCTTGCTCATTTTCAACGAGATAGGAAGGCAGGAAGATGCTAAGACTGCATTATTATATCTGACAGAATCACAGAATGGTGTGGGTGGGAAGGGACCTTAAAGACCATCTAGTTCCAACCCCCCTGCCATGGGCAGGGACACCTTCCACTAGACCAGGTTGCTCAAAGCCTCATCCAGCCTGGCCTTGAAGACATCCAGGGAGGAGGCATCCACAACCTCTCTGGGCAACCTGTTCCAGTGCCTCATCACCCTCTCCATGCAGAGTTTTTTCCTGATATCCAATCTAAATCTACCTACTTTCAATTTAAACCTGTAACCCCTTGTCTTGTCACTACAAAAGTATTCATTTCTGGGGTAACCACTAACCTCAACATGAAGAAGCCTTTTTGTCTTCATTAAAATGTTCTTTTTTATGTGTACAGAATGAGAACAAAAATTCACTGTCATGGATTGGTAACAAATCCCTCATCCCAAGTTTCTGTCATACAAGTGATAGCAAAAAACATCAACGTCCTCACTGTGATTACGGAGAGCAAGATAGAGAATGATACCCACTACTCCCTCAAATTTTGGGTTTTTTTATGATGCCACTGCCGACAGCTGCGTGTGTCAGTGTTGTATTTAAGTGGTCCTTTCCTGTGATACACATGCTTAAGCCACTATGAAACATACTGGGCAGATCCCTGCAGCTGAATTTGGCAGTCAGCCTACAACAGCGACTTGCAGCTTCAAACTGGCAATCTCAACAGGAAGGGTCTGGCATATCCATTCACTAGCCCAGTTCTTCCATCAAGGCTTCTGCAGACACCTGACCCCAGGTGATCTTTGGGAAAGGAAAGGATCACGCAGCACGTGAGTGCATCTCAGGTCTCCAACTCACATCTCCATAAATACAGATGGACAGCTTTGGTGCCTAAAGGCTGTTTTTGTTGTTGTGGTGGTGGTTATTTTGGGGTTTTTTTTGTGTAAGATGAGAAGAAACTTGGAGCAGAAAGATTACTGAAGATGTCTGGAGGAACAAAATCAGTAATAGTTAAGCCTAGGCCTGATGGAATTATATTTTAAAATTAATGACCAGTCTGTGCAGCACCTTCCTCTTTTGGAAAAGCAACCCCGCCTCTTTTCCCCAAATCAACTACATGCAATTTCTGATCTATTTCAGAGACCAAAATTGTGCCAGCACATAATCGGTGGATATGGGAGCAAAAGCAGAGAGGTCTTTGGCAGGCAGGGAGTAAGGCTGATCAAGGGTTATCAATGGTAAAAATGTTTAGCAGTCAAAAAAAAACAACCCAAAACCAATTCTTCCAGTAGTTGACCTTCAATAGCAATAAACACCAGAAATCCTGCCCTGTCTACCTCTTGAGATAAGTCAGACATAAGAAACCTCTTTAATTTGGTCCCAGAAACATCTGTTGTCCCAAGCATTTAGGTAACGTACCCCTAAACAAGGGAGATACAAAATATTTTTGTATCTGAAATTGCTAACGTCCCCATTTTTTCTCCACCAACAGGAAATTTGGGCTGCAGCTCTGCGGACAAAAGCTCAAAACCCAAGACCACAGCCAGCCCCAAACAGCTTCTACAGAAACACTGGTACTGATTTTAAGTAATGGTGCTTACTTCACCCAACTGTACTGTCTCCCAGCTAGGTAAAATAACAGGACCCCGCTTCAAACAATCTGAATTCTTTAAAGGGTGAAGGAGAGGAAGAGTCAGACTGACTTACTACGCTCTTCAAAGGTGAATGCGATGGGATGGGGATCATAACCTTACAGAGCTAAGGGATGCAATTTGCAGGTACCTCATTAATTGTGTGTCACTTACCCAGGAAGAACAATGTCTTTAATCCTATTGACTGGAAATTATTAACGGGAAAAGAAAGCAGCTTCCACAAATTTAATAAGTGCAACAATGAACCAAATGGAAAAGCATGCAATAGCTCTTCTGAAACCTATTACATGAAAAGTTAATTATAGTGTAGTCATTCCAGAACTATGAGAAGCTAAAGGGACCACAGATTCTTCATGGCTCACACATCAGACAAGCAGGCATGAAATCAGTTTTCGGCAGGTGTCAAAGAAGAAATGAACTCTGAAAATATTTTCAGCTTCTTAAAAATTGACACTGTTTGCTACCTAATGCAAATGCCAAGATAGAGGATATTTCCTGCTTCGTTAGTAAGACTGCCCTCATATACAAGCACTGGAGGCAGAAAGACCTGAAATGAATTTCAAAACATTCTGCCTGAGAACTACTATTTTTTAAACTCAAAAGATCAACCAGTAAGTATCTACAGCATCACACCAAACAGCCTTCCACGCATATCTGAGTATGTAGTTCCACTCCTAACGCACCAGACTCACCATTTCCCAGGAGCAGTAAGCGGACACGTTAGCTGTATGCAGCGAGCCAGCGCGCACGGCTGCCTTACCTGCTCCTTCTTCACCGGCGTGCTGTGGGCTGCCACAGCCGAGAACTGCTCGAGCGCGTTCTGATGCTCTTCGCTCAGCTGCTGAGGGTCCTGCGGCTGGGTCTCGGCTGCCCCTTGCTGCGCAGGGCTCTCCTGCTGATCCTGCTCCTTATCCTTGGACTCGGAGTCCGATCCCGATTCTGTAGTCATGGTTGGTTATGCTGTAAAACAAGGCGAACAGACCTTTAGACCAGGTGATGACTACAATCTCCTAGCTGCGAATCTGTAGGCTAGGCTTACAAAATGGATAAATGTCAGGCACTAGGGTTTAGTCTGAATGTGCCCAGACTTTAAAAGTAAAGTGGCTATTACTGGCCCAACGAGAATCCCTCAGAAAGCTTCCGTGGTGCAAAAGACCAGGCCTAAATTTATCCATACTCTTGAGGAAGAGTGTGTTGCCATAAAATCGGATTCTACATTTTAATATAGAGACATTATAGGAATTATATTAAATTTGCATACAGATATACAGTTCCACGTAGTTCATAATTCATAAAAGGAGAGTAACACACTGAGAAAAACTCCTACGATCGAGGGCCCTACAGCCAACACAATTCAGGGCCACTTGGGTTTCTAAACCATGTGGTAACTTCTGAAAACATTAAAACTTTTGTTCTTTACATTTAATGCAACAGGGCTTGAACTCCCAAACACTTGCACTCCCTTTTGGAAACAGACTCAAGTACTTTTCATGCTTCCAGGCAACGTATGTGCTAGAAACCTCTGAAGTGGGCCCACCATCATCAGTGCAAGTGTACAACCGTCCTCAAGCACAGTTCTGTCCTTCCCGCTTGAATTCAGCTACACTTCTGACATTTCTAAGTGCTGGAGCATCCAAAAGAAAAGATAAATGCTTCCATTAAGTCACTCTAAGTGTTAAGATTTAAAATAAAGTATGTTTTTCCTTAGATGTGAAAAGGCTGTTTGAACTTCACTTTGTGCAGTACTAAATCAAAATGAAAATATTAGGAATATTCATTCAAAATCTCAACTATTTCTATTAAACAGCTTCATTACAAATATGTGGTTGGCACCCAATTCTCAAACTACATAAAAGCAAAGCCCAGCTTCAAAAATATACTGTGATTTTGTATCAAAACAAGGATTTGAAAAGGCAGGCTCTGTGCCAGTTCAGCAAACAGAGTCTGCTCTTACGTTTGTTACTCATATGCTCTTAGTCCTCACGGTCTTATCCTCGAGCATTTTGCTTTTAAGCAACTCCAAAGCAAAGCAGTCTGCTGCAATCTATTTCTGTTCATCATCAGGCCATGATTTCTTTAACCTGGTAACCATAGCTACTGTGTAATTATAAGCACTTCCACAGGACATGCATCTGCTAATTCATCTGCCAGGATGCCACTACCAGCTCTGCAGATACGCTACGATGTTTACTAGTACAAACAGATTTATTGAAGATCACAAAAAAAGTACAGTTCTCTTTTTTTTTTTAACTTAAATGTTTAATAAGCTACACTGATTGACAGAAAAATGTTTTAAATGAGGCCAATTACTATTTCCAAACCCATTTATGCATTCTGCACTTTCAAGGCTAGGTCCTCCAGTGAATACATGTCTCCGCAGAGCAAGCAAGTGCCCAGCCTGCGCTCAGATTCTGCACTGCCTGTGAGGACGGGGGTGCACGCTCCTACCTCCTGCGTGCCGAAACAGCACGAGAAGCAGAACTAGAAAGCACATATGGCAGATTCAGGCCACGTTCTCCCAGTACCAATGTGTGACACACTTGTTTAGGAATACATCATCAATTTCTATACTCAAACTGGCACATTTATATCAAAATTACCCTTAAAAATGTATTGTTTAAACAACTGTCTTCGGCATCTACAAAAAGCAATTATTAACTCATGTCTTTTAAAATGCGATAGCCTGAAAAGGCAATCATCTAATCAAATTTCAGATGTCCACATGAGAGATGGTCGCTTTAAATGGGGAGGAAACCAGACGTTTCAGAGCGCGATTCATCTGACCTATTTTAGATGCCTGCTTCAAGCTGAGATAAAGCACACGCTAGCGCGGACTTCGTCTGATTTGTTACGAAGGAAGCCTAAACAAGTTCCCCCGATGCAGATCAAACCAACCCATCCTCCATTTGATTCTATTAAGCCACTCTTTTTTTTTGTATACTTTACAAATTAAATTGCAGAACAATGTTAATCTCTCAGAGTTTTGTTTTGCCCATCTGTCAGATCAACATAGAATAAATTATTTTTCATCTGATGCTATTAAAGTTGCCTTTCTCCAAAAGCACCCAGAGCTCCACCAAATTCAAACGTTTCCCCCCCCTACTCCCAAGCCATGCCTTGTGCAAGTGTATGAAAACATTAAATGCAAACTGATCAAATAATTCAGTAAAAACAAATTATGCATTTGATTTTCTTTTCCAGAAACTACAAATTAGCAAATAACAAAAAGTAACAAAAACAAACTTCCAGCTACAAAATCATTAACAGAACAACTCTAAGCAGCATAGATGATCAATGCAAAGTGTTACACATGGAAGTTGTACGAAGTGGGGGGGTTTTTTCCCCTTTTTTCCTACTGATATGACTTAGAGCAGTGTAAACAGAAAGCAACTGTCATACTTGTTGTCTTGAAACACCATCAACCCAAGTATCTTGAGGTGTTAATCTATACAGGATCAGATTGCCTGTCAATACGAATCAAAAGACTGTCTTCCTTTCAGCTGCCATCCCTGCATCCCTGGAAGCTCATTTTTGTACCCTATACAGCTTCTTTCCTAATGAACATTTGTATTCTGGCTCTTCACGAGCATGGAAACATAGCCATTAAATTCATCCATAAAGCTCAACTTCATACAGCATGAACTGAAAACAAGTTTAACTTTTCTTGCCAATTATAATTTTGCATCTCAATGAACGACAAACGTGGTTCTTAACTACTTCTGGGACATTTCCACATGAAGCAGAGCCTTACATTACTGGGAGTTACTCTCTGGGACTGGTTTTCTCTCCAGTTACATGAGTGCTCGCTTGCTCTGAGAGTGCTTTGTTAGAAAACTTTCGTGTGTTATCAAATCTTTCAGCATAAGCGATTCCCTGGATGCAATATTCCTGTCATTAGTCAGACAGCAGATGGATTTAATTAACCCAAGGTTACCCATTTCCAAATGTCTTCTTTATTTCCCTACGCATACTGATATGTTTAATAACCAATACTGAGAATAAAATACTATTGATTTCATGCTGTTATCTTACAGATGTCAAAAGAAGCAAAGCAAACATATTTTGAATCCAATTTCTTACCAACTCCTCAGCTGACTGTATTGCTAAGATTCACCTCATTCTATCTAGTGCAGGTTGAAAATACCTAAATTACAAGATAGAAAACAACATTCCTCTCTCAGTGCAAACCAACAGGTTGTTTTGCCTTCCTCAGCAAACAGCTGTTTATCCAAAAGAAATTTGAAAGTATTTAATTTTTTTTTTTTTATAAATGGCACCAACAATGCTCCTAGGAAGCAGTAGTTTCACTTATTGGAAGAAATAACAGTAATCTTAAGAAATGTAACATCATCAATATTACTTTACTTTTGTTTGTACACAGCAAACCTGACAGAACAGCTAGCAGTCTCTCCACATTCGTCCACCACACACAATTGGCTGAGAAATTCTTATTTTATTAGTTTATTTACTACACCTGGCTATGTACCAAAATCATTACTTTCAATGTGAATTTCAGTACAGGAAGAAAGAAATCACTGAAGGTCCTTAAACTTTTTCTGTTGCCAGAACAACCTCCGTATCAAGTTCCCCATTCCAGAAATCAGAAAACAAACCAAGGAAAAGAGACTAAGAGCACTACCTTATACAAATGAGGTAATGCTATGCAAGCCAGATGTGCTCTTGGATAGCTAAATGTTGGCTTACAACCCCAATTCAAAGATTCCAAAAGATTAGCTGAGTCCAAACTTAACACAGATGCTGCAAACACTGCACAGTCTAAGGCTAAAGTCAATTTGGCTACAGAATTCAATCAGAATGAAAATCAAGCCTTTTGATTAAAAAAAAAACCAAAAACAAAACCAAGGACTGGCTTATTTTAATCTAGTACTTAAAAAATAAGTTTAAAATGTATGTACTTCCAGCAGTGCAAAGGTTTAAACTGTGTTTGAGAGTGCCGTGGAAGAATGATTAAAAATAAACTTTTATACTATCAAGGTATAAGCTTCAACTTCAAAAAACTATATGACATATTTAAAAATATTAGTAGGGCAAATCAGAAAAAAGAAATCTTTTCATACCCTTACCCTATACAAAGCAAGGCATCACACAGGGATTGCAAAACCTGCAAACGACTTAGACAAAACCTAAACCCTAAAGCCTTCCAACACACCCAGTCCTTGTTACCTACAGCTACCAACATATTGCAGCTTGGGAGATTACCATGATTACCAGCTATGTCACCTGGTCCCCTCCAACAACTGACAGTCAATCTTCTGTGCATGTTCATACATTCAACAAGTTACCTGACTTCTTGCCTCCTATTCTCAGAGCTCAGATCTTTTGAGTTGCATCTACTGAGCAACAAAATTCACTGCTAATTGACAGCAGAGTTCACAGTTTAATTAACCAAGCAGTCATTAATAAAACTTTATTTATATATAAATACATGCTAGTGGAAATATCTGCTATATTAAGCAAACGGAAATTACATTACAGAAGAAATTGCAAATTAATTCTGAATAAATTGTGATGTAATGACAAAATTGAACCAAGTATAATTAAATGAACTATACATAGCCACTAACTATTTCCTGTAATGCACAGATTAATGATTTGCATTTAAATGCTTCTTTGATATAATTAATTCTCTTTGTGGCAAGTTCTCCTTTAATTACAATAATTTCTGAAGATTGTTATAAATCACTGCAAAGGTCCAAATTTGGAAGTTATGTAACCAAATAATGATTCCATACTTCAAAAATAATGTTCTGCATAACGAGATGCATATTTATCCAATAAGGACAAGATGCTGATGAGGAGAGCATATGGAGAACAATATTGCTGCTATGAGCAGAGATGTCAATATATGTTTCAAGAAAAGAATCCACGCCAGGAACGCCGACTTCTGAGCCTGAAATATAAACTGTTTTCATCAAACTGCTTAAAGTC